TGAAATAAAGAACCCATATCAAATAGTCTTTTTTTTTTTTCTCCTTTGCGCGAGCATTTATGGTTATTTATGTTCAAGGTCCTTTTATGTGTTCCAGAGTCAAACCTTTTATAGTTTTACACTCAGCTCTAGATCAGTTGGTACATTTCAAAATAACATATTTTTGACCGTGGCAAAGTTTCTTTTAGGCCTAAAGGTCCTAAAATTTTAGGTGCTCAGAACCGCTACCCCTCCACGTCGAGAGGAGCCAGTTGAGGTGGTTCCGGCATCTGGTAAGGATGCCCCCTGGGCGCCTCCATAGAGTGGTGCTTCGGGCATGTCCAACTGGGAGGAGACCCCCGGGAAGACCCAGGACATGCTGGAAAGACTTTGTCTCTTGGTTGGCCTGGGAACGCCTTGGAATCCTCCCAGAAGAGCTGGAAGAGGAGGCTGTGGAAAGAGATGTCTGGGCCTCCCTGCTCAAGCTGCTGCCCCGCGATCAGACTTCGGAATAAGCGGAAGATGATGGATATTTTTGGCCAATTGCGATATATAATAATGATAATAAAAAAAAAAAGTTTTAATATTTTATTAGTAAGGGCTCCTAAAAACTGAAATGAAGTGTTTTCTGGACTCAGATCAATTGTTAATCTTTACTGACATGTTTATGTTTTTTATAACTGATGTTTTCTTGTGTTTACGGTAATTTACCGGAGTTCTTCAATGACGGGACAGCGGTCTAAATAAAGATCCAAATAGTTTCTTTTCTAGGTCCAGATCATTTGGTAAATTTCAGTAAAATTGCATTTCTTTTTTTAATAAAATATTTTCCTAAACCATTTATAGTGACTTGTATATTCCGGAAATTTACCGGTGGGGGTCCTTAAACAACGGCTTTCAGTCCAGATACAGATGCAAATACAGTAGTTGACTTTTTAGATCCACATCTGTTGGTAAATTTCTATTGTGTTTTTTTAATGTCATTTTTGTCGTCTCTGCACATGTTTAGTTTATTATATTCTCTTACAGAACGTTTTTGGCTTCATTCACACTGCAGACAAAGTGGCCCAAATTAATTTTTTTTTTTTTTTTTTTTTTAGCCTTTATTTATCCAGGTTAGTCTCATTGAGCCACGAGAACTCATTTTCAAGAGAGACCTGTTTAGGGAGCACATGGTGGGGTTAAGGGCCTTGCTCATGGGCCCAGAGTGGGGCGAATGAGGGTGGGGGCAAGTGTGGGTGTTTCACCTACCCCACCCACAATTTTTGATGTTGTCGGGGCCGGGGCGTGAACCGGCAATCTTCGGATCACAAGCCCACCTCTCTAACCTCTGCGCCACCACTCCCCAAATTTTTGACCAGTATCAGATATTTTTATGCTGCGATAATCTTTCTTGTAACTGTTCACACTGGAGTATGATGGCAATCGTATTAGAACAACAACGCCCCCCCCCCCCCAAAAAAAAAATCAAGTCTGAGCAGAATAACGAAATGAAGCAATAATGTGTTCAGTGTGAACGTAGCCTTGGAGACACTGCTCTTTGAGGCTTTACGGGAATAACCGTAAAGGCTCAAACATGGCTTCCTTCTGCTTCCATGTGCTTGAACCAATATACATCAACAATATGAAGATACAAAGACCTATTTTGAATAAGCACCTATCTAGAATTTATTTAAAAACAATGGTTTATTGTTTTTTATAAAGTGCTAAACTGTGTTTTTAACAGGAGGATCATTCTTCCAACACGAGCTCAGATTTGTTACCAAGCTCATATTCTGTGACTTGCTGTGAACGATTGTATCAACACAAGTTTCATCTTGGATCAGTGGTTTGAAGGAATGTCAGCCTCCATCGACTAATGCGTCTCTCTGAAGTCTAAACCCCTTCTTTAACACGAAACTAATCATGTCGTTTTGGGTCCAACGGGACAATGGGAAACGTATTATTTACCTTGTTATACAGGCTGAGCTATTGTAGTTCATGTGAATAGCCAAAGGACCTGGCCTTCCTTTAAAGATGAGGTGATTTTAAAACCATGGTCCTTGCGCAAGCTGAGAGGTGTATCATCTCATCTTGGGGTGGGATTCAGGCTTTGTGTGATCCACACACACGAGTACACACCAGATTGTAATCTGTGATATGGAAGTCACGGTGACAGCACAACAGAGGACCGAATATCCCTTTACATTCTCGGTGCAAACACAAAAATAGGGGTGATGATCTAAATGTGGAGGATATGCTTCCCTTTTATTGATGTGTGTGTTCTCGTTCTTTTACAGATTGGAACAAAAGCTCTTTCGTGGCGTGCACATTGATGATGGACAATGAGTGCTGGGTGTCTTTTAATGCGGTTGAAAGTGAGACGGGGACCACCGCTTACAATCTGCAGATGTACGGTAAGTTTTACAACAAAACAACATGAATATGGGTAAAGATAAAAATGTCAGAGTTCCTGCACCATCTCATCCTTTGCCCTTTACCAGGATGCCCAGAGACCCCAAATATCCCCATGATCATTCTGGGGGTCTCCCTTTCTGTTGTTTGCATCGGCCTGATTTTGCTGGCTGTGTGGAAAGTTCTGGTGTCGGCCCACGACCGGAAAGAGGTGGCCCGATTTGAGGCTGAGCGGGCAAAAGCAAAATGGCAGACGGTAAGACTTCAATAAACAAAAAAAAGAAAATAAGCTTTTTTGAAATGGTTTTGTTGTTTTCAACAAACAACAATACATTATCTGTAAAAAGAAAGTCCATCCACTCTCTCTCAGTTCTTGGGTTTGAGGACGTAAAAACCACATCTGGTCGTCACCAGGCCTCAAAACGATTTAAATCTAACTGGAGTGAACAACAACACAATGCAGATTCCATCGAGTCCTTACTTATCACACAAAAACTGGTTCCAGCATTTCTGCTTGCTCTGGAGCGTACAGGTGTTCTGCCAAGGTGGGAAAACAACAGCAATGACCTCAGAGAAGCAGCCGCTGCTGTCCGTCAACCTGTGAAAGGTCAAAGGTCATTTCCAAACTCTCTGGAGCCCATCGTTCTACAGAGATAAATATTATTGTTAAACAATAAAACTGTTAAGACAGCTGACAGTCTTCTCAGGAGTGGAGGTTCCAGTAAATTCACCCTGAAGGTCAGACCGCGCAGTGACTCTAAAGGCCTCTTCTCACTAAAACAACATGGCAGCTCGACTTAGGTTTGGACAGTTTCATCTGAAAGAACCACAAGACTTCTGGACCAGAACCAGACCAGAGGACGGATGTTTACCCAGAATTCACTGCATCAAACTGCTCCTCCCATCTGCATGGTGGAGGTGGGCTGATGGTTTGGGCTCCTGTCAATCACTGAGTGGACCATGAACTCCTCTGTAAACCAAAGGATTCTGGAGTCACTTGAGTCCATCTGTCCAACAGCTGAGGCTTGGACAAAACTGGGTCTAACAGAACCATGATCCCAGACACAGCAGCTGATCTACAACAGAATGGGTCAAAAAGAAAAGGGCCTTGGAGTTTCAACGGTCCAGTCAGAGTCTAGAACCTCAACCTGACTGAAACACTGTGGTGGACCTTCAGAAAGCTGAGCAGAACCCTCAATTAACTGAAGCAACGCTGGAAAGAAGAGGGGCCAAAATTGCTCCACCACCCTGAGAGACATTAATGAAGTCCTACAGAAAACACCAACTTTGGTCTAAATGCCAATCTTAGTCAGCTTCTAAAATAAAATCTAAACCACCTATATCATCTTCTTCTTTCAAAATGTCCCTCCTCAGGGTCTCCACAGCGAGTCATCCTCCTCCATCTCACTCTGTCTTCACTCCAACTACCTCCATGTCCTCTGTAACTGCATCCAGATATCTCCTCTTTGTCTGTTTCCTGGCAGCTGCATTTTTAACATCCTTCTACCAATATACCCACTGTCCCTCTTATGGACATGTCCAAACCACTGTCCGTCCTCTGGACATGTCCAAACCATCTCAGTCTGGTCTCTCTAACTTTATCTCCCAGTTGTTCAACCTGTGCTGTACCTCTGATGATCTCATTCCTAATCTTCTCCATCCTTGTCACTCCTAAGGAGAACCTCAACATTTTCATTTCTGCCACTTCCAGTTCTGTCTCCTGTCTTTTTGTCCATGTCTCTGTCTCCAGACCATACAACATAGCTGGTCTCACCACTGTCTTGTAAATTTTTCCTTTGACCTTTGCTGACACCCTTTTGTCACAAATCACTCCTGAAACTTTTCTCCATCCTGCCTGGACTCTCTTCTTCACCTCTTTACCACACTCCCCATTGTCCTGGACAGTGGACCCCAAGTACTTGAAGTCCTGCACCTTTGTGACCTCTGCTCCTTGTATCCTCTCTGTTCCACCTCCTCCCTCTCATTCACACACATGGACTCTGTCTCACTATGGCTGACTTTCATTCTTCTTTCAAGTGCATACCTCCACCTCTCCAAGTTCTCTTCCACTTGTTCCCTGTTCTCACCACATTTAGTGTTGCCACCCTCAGTCCTACATTCTTCTCTTTCCTCTTCTCCCTCTGTCTCCTGACCCGTTTCCCTCCTCGTGGTCTTTGATTAACAGTAGCACAATTTCTGCCGGCACCCTGTTTGTCAACAGCACCAGTGGCGGTTGTTGTTCACCCGGGCCACTACCGATCTGGTATGGTGTCGCTTTGATGAACTCACATTATAGTTTTGGCAAATGTGTTTTACGTCGGATGCTCTTCCTGACACAACCCTCACCATTTACCCGTTTTGGGACCGGCACAAGAGATACACTGGCTTGTGCTCCCTAGTGGCTGGTTTAAATCAGTGACCATGATCGGTTCAAAAACATATTTTAAGATAAATACTGACTTTATGAACTTTTATTTTCTTTCTATTTTGCATTTCATCTTGGATGGATGGATAAAAGTGACTGATTCCGTACAACTTGTTTTGATGTTTGTAGGCTCAGTCATCCAGGTAGATGATGACAAAAAAGGTTAAATCATGTCATGTACCAGTTTCTTTAAACGTTTCGTCCCCCATCCGAGGACTTCGTCAGTCTGTGGTGCCAACCAGATCTGTCCCATAGGTAGCCTTCACCGCAGTGCTTCAAGCCAACCTCCTGTTGGAATCTCAACAGGAGGCTTTTAACGCATGTAAACAGAGCACTGGTTGGCCGGCCACAGACTGACGAAGTTCTCCGGATGGGGGACGAAACATTTCTCACTTAAAGAAACTGGTCCAGATGACATGATGTGACCTTTTCTGTTGTTTTCACGTTGTTGATAAATTTGACCAACAATAACTGTAATCTCGAACATTTTAATTACCCGTTCGTTGTTTTCTGTGTTTCTCCTCAGGGAACCAACCCTCTGTTCAGAAGCTCCACGTCTACATTTAAAAACATAACTTATATGAACACGTACAGAGAAAGGATCATTAGGGAAAATCACTACTGACCACAAACTGGAGGCTGTGCAAACATCCTGAGTGTGAGTGTGTGTGAGAGAGGAATGATGAATTCAGAGACGTTCGAACGCAGCGCTGCGAGGAGATGAAGGTGAAGAGGTTAATTTTCTGCTGTAAACGTGCACTGCTGATCTCGTACTGTAAGACACTGGACGTCACATCTGCACGGCTCCAAACAACAGCTGGTGTTCTGTGACCTGCAGCCTGGAGAACAGAAGCTACCTTAAAATGGACTTTTGACTACTGAAAAAAAACTGTAAATATTCAGGTGTTTTATGTTTCGTTTTTTTTTATTATTGTTTGTTTTCTAGGAAAGCTAAGCTGAGCCTTAAATGGTAAAATGTGTTTGTTGTGTTTTTTGTTTTTTAGTGACAAACGGGGCACAAAACAGTAAAACTTTTAGCCCAAAGTAAAACTATTTCTAACGTTGGGGCGGGCAATCATGTAAATGCTTGTGTCTGTGTTTGTTTGCTTCAATGAGCAAAACGGTAACAAATAGTAAAAATTAACAAAACATTTGCTAAAAGCAAAATTTTGCGAAACGTTACCGGTTCTTTTTTTTTTTTTTTTTTACTTTGGCGGCCATCTTGAATGTTTGATTAGCATTCGGTATGTTGTTGGGGATTACTCTCAGCTACTACCACACACTAAACTTCTGCTGCATTTGTATAACTTGACTGAGTTACAGCCATATATGTGATAGCATTGGCAAACATTTTGAGTTTTAAATTCATAGTTTAGACGACTTAAAAACACTAGAAGTGCAGCTAGAGATTAGTTGCACAGTTAGCAGTAAATGGTTAGCTGAATGAAAATGTTCAATGTAAAAATTAGCAAAATGTAAACAAAAAAATTAACATGAAAATACTACGGTAGCTAAGTGCCAGAAGTAGTGAAACGCACGCAGAAACCAGAGGAACACTACCTGCCAGGTTTAGCGTAAGCTAGCAGAACACAAGCAGCCAGTAGCCAAAGTAGCGAAATGCTAGCTTGTAGTCAGAAATAGTGGAACACGAGAAAAATGCAGGAAAACGCGCTGTGAAAGTCAGATACTGTTTTTATAGCCAGTACTGTGGTTAACAAAACAACAGCTAAAAGCTACATGTAAGTATTCAGAAAAAAAAACATTAACTAACAGCTAAATGCAGCAAAACTGCATCTAAAGGTTAAAATTAGCAAAACAGTATCTAAAAGGAAACGAAACGAAAAACTAAACATAGCAAAACTGTTGCTAAATGCAGTAAAACTAAAGCCTAAAATTAGGAACAATAAAGTACAAGGTAGCAAAACAGTAGCTAAAACTAAATGTAGCAAAACAGTAGCTAAAAACTAAATGTAGCAAAACAGTTGCTAACTGGAGCAAAACTGCAGCTTATAGGTTACATTTGCTAATAGAATTTAAAAGTTTTAAGTCTATTTTAAAAAGACGGTAGCAAAATGTAAAAAAAACAAAACAACTGTAGCTGAAAGCTAAAAATAGCAGCTTTAATGTTGATTTGTTTGGGTCTAAATCTGGACCATGGTTTGCTCACTTGGGATTAATAATGTATGAAAGGATAAAGAGGTCAAATAAAGAGCAACACAAACAGCATTCCTGTTTAAAAATCATGTTTTTGTATAATTTGTAACAGGACACTTTTAGTTCATTTTTAAATTACTGTATATTTGAATTTTAAACATCAAGTCTAGACCTTACACTTGGTAATTCAGGACCCTCAACGGGACCCTGACCCATACTTTGGAAACCAGTGAACTGATTTTTTAGACCTTATACAGTATTCTGTTTGCACAGCAAATGTTTTGCATTTTAAATTGTCTTGTTCTTTTTACTGTGGTTTATTTTCTGTCACACTTTTTTTTTTTTTTTGGCATTAATGTAGTTCCATACACCCACACTTTGCTTGTCAGGACCGCCTGTGGGGTCCGGACCCAGACTATTTGAGAACCGCTGAAGTCCTCTTTATAAAAGTTCTGTTTTATGGACTCCGCAGAAAACTTTCCTCTGAAGGTTCTGGCTGTCTGATTCTTCGTTTCTGTTGAAGTCCAGTCTCAAGGTTCTGGTCCGAGCGGGACCGGAGCGGCAGGAATGCAGCTCTCAGACCCGGACCCTGACCGCAGCTCCTCCGTCAGTCGTGACGTCGCTGGTTCGGAGCAGAAGAACTGAACCGGGACCAAGTTTTCTGACTGGGGAAAAAAAAAAAAAAGTCTTAGAATAGTCTGTTGGGGAGGCATCGATGTTCGGACGGCTCGGTTCTGCTCGGTTCTGTGGAAATGTTCTCCGTCGCCGCGGCTGCTCTTGTTTGTTGGACCGTGTTCTGGGCCCAGAGCTGCGTCTGTGAGGACGATGAGGTTCTGGAGAAAACCCAGCTCGAAGACTTTTACAGTAAGTTCTGCTGCAGCTCGGTCCTGCCTTCTGGGAGGAACGAACCGAACCGGGACCCAGTTTCTGCGCCGTAAAACTGCAGCATTTTGTGCTCGAGGGAAGATGTGAGATTAAACGGCTGCGCTTAAAGATTAGAGAAAGTAACATCAACTATAAAAAGTTTTATGGCTCTAAATGAATTTACAGACAGAACTTGATCAAACGGAGCTGTTTGAAAGCGTTTTCTCCTGCAGCTCTGCGTTTATTGATGTAAACGCCGGAAATGCGGGTCCGCACTCAACGTAAACAAAGCTCCAATTAACAAGTTGTCAACAAACATGAAGAGTTTGAAGGAACTGTGCAGGACTGTAAATACGATAAAGGAAACAAACTGAAGAGTCGGCTGTTTTTATCTGCAGGGAAATACGTTGGACTATTATACTTCGGCTGATTGAAGCTAGGATGTTTGTTGTTTTAGCTGCTTTTAGTTGATTGAGTTGGACAACATTTTATTCAGTGACAGATTATTTTAAACAATTAGCATTAACGCTGAGCTGAATGCTGAGGAAGCTGACAGGAGCAAAACACTAGCTAAAAGGTAAAATAAGCAAAACATTGGCTAAATAGTAAAAGTTGCTAAATGTTAGCTAAAATCAAATTATAGATAAAGGCTTGCTAAAAGCTAATAAAAGCAAAAGGCTATGAAGGTAAAAACTAAAAATAGCTTAAGGTTAGTGCAACATGACAAAAAAACAAACAAAAAAAAAAACAGAAAGATAATGTAAAAGGACAGCTAAAGGCTAAAATTAGGAAAATGCTAAAATTAGCAAAAATTTTAAAGTAGCAAAATAATAGCTGAAAGCCCAATGTAGTAAGGCTACGTTTAAAAAAAAACAAGACTATAAACTAAATGTGAAAAGCTAGCCAACAAAAGGAGCAAAACATCAGCTAAAAACAATAGTGACGGATTAGCTAAACTAGCATGTGGCTAGCTAAAAGCCAAATGATTGGGCTTCATGTTTTGATATATTTGAATTTGGTTTTTCCAAAGTTGTGGGGTAAATTAATGAGCGATTATTTAAAAAAGTTCTTCAGCGGCTACTTAATGATTTGACCTTTAGCTGATGTACTTTTACTGTGAAGTCTGAACTCCTGTGAGTTGCTGAAACTGAACATTCGGTCTTTTTGATGCCACTGAAACATCTCAATGGAGCAACAAAGGCGTTAAAAACACCTCGGTGCTAATTATTTCAGCTACTTGGCAGCAGGTGAGTTTCCCTGAAGGAAGCGAGCGGCTCACCAGGTGCGCGTCTAATTTTTATACTTTATAGGGCGAAACTGTAAAACGTCAGGAGTTGGTGAAAACGCCAAATGGGCGATTTTACAAACTAGACTGAAGTTCAGTCGAGGTCTGCCGCCGCAGGAAGTGGCCTCGTCGTTTCAGCACGGCCACGCCAAACCACGCTCTGCACAAACGTCAGTCAACGTGGAGCTGAACTTCAGCTCATCTCCAGAGCTCCCTCAGAAAACAAAAACATGGTGGCTTACCAAAATAAAAGCGCAGCATTCTTTTTAAAAGTGCATATCGCCCGTTCGCTCACAGCAAAGACGACGAGTTGACTCTAAGAGTTAACGGTTAAAGTTTCAAGAACAGCTCTTGCGTGATCAGTTCGCCCTCAGAGCAGATGCTGTGGATGACTCTCAGCTACTACAGCTAATTTCAGCACATTATTTTTCAAACAGACTGAATTTTAGCTTTTTAATTTTTTGCCCGTCGAAGGCGGACGAACTCTGTGAACGTTTCTGAACCGTCCTCGTCATTCAGATCCGTTTTTCTCCTGTACGTTTTTCAGCTCGTAGCTCGTTCCTCAGTTTTTGTTCTTTTTCAACGATTCATGAATCAAAACGTTCGGCTCGTTTCAGGACGTTCCTGCTGAAACTTATGGGTTTTGTAGTTTTTCACTTTTTGAAGTACAGCAGTCCCTCGTTTATTCTGAGGGATCCGTACCCTGAAGCCCCGTGATCAGTGAAAAACTGCAAAGAAGAGATATTAGCACAAATAGTAAGTAGTAGTTTATTTTAGTTTTTTTATTACATATATTATATATATATATAATATATATAATTATATATATATATGTATATATGTATATGTATATGAACTAAGAAGTACACTAAACTAAAAATACACTAAGTACTACTAGTACAAAACTATGTGCCAGACAACAGCAGCACGAACATGAGTCTGTGTGAGCAGATGAGGATGAATGAACACAGCAACATGAAATAAATCAGCAGCATGAGATCAGCAGCATGGATAGTCAGCAGCACATATCAACAATCAAGTGGCATTACAGTGATTTTCCACAGTATTTTCCACAGTATTTTTCACAGTATTTTTCACAGCGATAATCCAGACTAGGGATTCATGAGTCAAACAGCCTCAGGGTAGAAGCTTGTAGCGTTAACGACGGGTGAGATGGAGCAAGAAGGGTGACTCCTTTTCCATCTCAACTCCACTGCATTTGTTTATTAATTTTTCATTAAAAGGAGCACCAGCTACTGACCAACAACAACTTAATTAATAAATTCACCCTTTAATGATCACAATCAGTCACTGAAGTAGAATCTGTTCATTACAGGGAGTTCTAGACCAAAACAAATGAATATTCATCTGAATGAAGAGACCAAAGTTGTCTTTGAAGTTTTATTACACTAATAATCAACAAAAATAATAAACAAACAATAATAATGAATCAATCAAGGCTTAATTCTCTGATCTAAGGCAAAATTGACTCTTTGAGCAGGAATTATTTCAGTTTTATACACGCATGAATTTAGACAAAGTTTATTTAATGTTATTTAATGAGATCAGAGAAGTTATTTATTGTCACTGCAAGCCAGGAAATGATTTACCAAGTTGCATCAGCTAAAAATGACATCATGTCACCAGTTTCTGCTCCTTACCGGGTCGGTGTTGAAGGCACCAGGTCACTCGTCTTTCTGGGGTTCTGCTGGTGGATCAGACCAGGATAGACCACGAAGAGGACTTGCTGGGAACTGCCCAAAGGTATCTGAACGTGCTGGCTCCATCCTCCAGCTGTCCAGCGTTAGCAGCATTCTCCACAGATGTGGAAGGATGTGGAAGGATGTGGAAGGATGCGGAAGGATGCGGAAGGATGCGGAAGGATG